CCTATCTTCCCTCTTACTGGACTCAATCTGACTAGAAAAATCTATGCCCAAAACAATTTCACATATCCACACTATTACCTTCACCATCACAACCACTCAGAAAGGTATAATCAAGTTTTACTCCCTCTCTTTCCTTATTCCCCTTATTCTAACTCTATTCCTAATAACATAATCTATTACCATGAGTAATCTCAATAATAATATATACACCAACAAAGAACGTTCAACCAGTAACCACTACTAATCAACGCCCATAATCATATAAAGCACCTGCACCAATAGAATCTCCTCGAACTAACCCTGATCTCTCCCCCTCAAAAACTACCCAATTCCCTATATTATCAAAATTAACCACCACTACCAACCCATCAAAATCTAAAACTCATAAAACTAAATCCACCTCCATCGCCAACCCTATCAGAAAGCTTCCAAAAACCTCAAACCCTGACCCCCATGCGTCAGGGTATTCCTCAATAGCCATCGCCGTAGTATAACCAAAAACAACTATAATGCCTCCCAAATAAATTAAAAACATCATTAAACCCATATAAGTCCCCCATAATTCAAAATAATTACACAACCAACCATACCACTAACAATCAATGCTAACCCTCCATAAATAGGAGAAGGTTTAGAAGAAAATCCCACAAACCCCATGACTAATAATACACTTAATAAAAATACAATATATGCCATTGTTCTCACATGGACTCCAACCATGACCAATGATATGAAAAACCATCATTGTACTTCAACTACAAAAACACCAATGATCCCAACACGCAAATCTAACCCGATTTTAAAAATAATTAACTACACCTTTATTGATTTACCCACCCCATCCAACATTTCCATATCAGGAAACTTCGGCTCACTTCTTGCAACCTGCCTAATTCTACAAATTATTAAAGGCTTATTCCTAGCAATACACTATTCACCAGACACTTCCTCCGCCTTCTCCTCAGTCGCACACATCGTCCGAGGCATAAACTACGGCTGAATCCTTCGCTATCTCCACGCTAACTGTGCCTCTATATTATTCATCTGTCTCTTTCTACATGTAGGTCGAGGCCTCTATTATGGCTCCTATCTTCTTATAGAAACCTGAAACATTGGCATTGCACTTCTACTCATAACCATAGCAACAGCCTTCATGGGCTACGTACTCCCATGAGGTCAAATATCATTCTGAGGTGCCACTGTAATTACAAACCTACTATCAGCAGTTCCATACATCAGAACCAACCTCGTCCAATGAGTTTGAGGTGGGTATTCCATTGAGAACCCTACTCTTACATGATTCTTCACCCTTCACTTTATCCTACCCTTTATTATCACAGCCTTTACGACCCTGCACCTATTATTCCTACACGAGACAGGATCAAATAACCCCTGCGGAATTTCCTCCCACTCCGACAAAATTACTTTCCATCCCTACTACACAATCAAAGATATCTTAGGCCGAATCCTCCTCTTTATAGCCTTAATAACATTAGTACTATTCTCACCTGACCTTCTAAGCGACCCAAATAACTATATCCCAGCCAACCCCCTAAACACTCCTCTACACATTAAACCAGAGTGATATTTCCTATTCACATATGCAATTTTACGCTCTATTCCCAATAAATTAGGAGGGGTGTTGGCACTTCTCCTATCAATCCTTATCTTAGCAATCATACCCATTCTCCACAAATCTAAACCACAAAGTATAGCATTCTGCCCACTCAGCCAATCCCTATTTTGACTCCTAACCACAATTCTACTACCTCTCACCTGAATCGGAAGCCAACCAGTAAACCAGCCCTTTATGATTATCGGACAAGTAGCATCCGTAATATACTTTATCACAATTTGAGTCTTAATACCACTTGCCTCTCTAACCAAAAACAACTTACTCAAGTGAACCTGCCCTCGTAGTACAAATCAGTACACCAGTCTTGTAAACTGGAAATGGAAAACTTCCCCTAGGGCAACTCAGAAAGAAAGTACTTAACTTCACCACCAACACCCAAAACTGGCATTCTAATTTGAACTACTTTCTCTATTCTATGGTGTGCAAACTTTAAATGCAACTTAAGTATTACATTATTTTAATACACTTTTATGTAAATCGTGCATTACTGCTAGCCAACATGAATATTATATAGTACTATATATGATTAACTGTACCTGGCACATATCATTACATATTTACTAACAACAGTCCCCGACATGCTTACAAACAAGTATTCTCATAAATTAATCAACTGTAACACATTCTATTAAGCCTCAAAGTCCAAATGTCCCCACCCTGAATACCAACCAACCTAATTATTCACTTACCATACATAGTACATCACATCCTTTGCCGGACATAGCACATCCGATTAAATAAATCCTCGTCACTACGGATATCCCTCTCCCTTGTTCACCATCCTCCCTGAAATCAATATCCCGCACAAGAGTGCTACTCTCCTGGATCCAGGCCCATAAACCGTGGGGGTAGCTATAATGAACTGTATCCGGCATCTGGTTCTTACCTCAGGGCCATACAATCAAGATCGCCCACACGTTCCCCTTAAATAAGACATCTCGATGGATCACGGGTCTATCACCCTATTAACCAGTCAGGGGAGCTCTCCATGCATTTGGTATCTTTTATCTCTGGTCTGTACGCGACCCCATCGCAGAAAGCCGGTCCCGCCACAACACATCCCGCAGCGCCTGTCTTTGATTCCTAGTTCATGCCATTATCGATCGCACCTACGTTCAATATCCTAGCCCCACATGATTCCTACAAGGTGTTATTTAATTCATGCTTGTAAGACATATTAATAACTGTTTTACAGCCCATTCCTAATTACACTACAAAAACACAAGAAACTTTTAACAAACCCCCCCTCCCCTATCTCTGACTTCTCCCCTTAAAAACTCGCTTTTGCCAAACCCCAAAAACAAAAGCCTTCATTCGCCCAGCCAGAGCTTACGTTCTCATCTTTTAGCTATGCACAACTTCAACTGCTATTCCCTCAACTAATATAAAATTACTTCACCTTACCACTCTTAACACCACTTTCCATCTTCTTCCTGCTTTCTCGCTCCCACGCATTTACTCACTACTACATCTGTATCCTTATACCACAACCCCAAAGACAAAACCTCACAACTATACTTTTTTCCTGTTTACATAGCTTAATCCACCTAAAGCAAGATGCTGAAAATGTCTAGACGGACTAACATACCCCGTAAACAAATAGGTTTGGTCCTAGCCTTACTATTAACTCTTAGCAAGATTACACACGCAAGCATCCTCACCCCAGTGAGGACACCCTATAAATCACAATGATCATATGGAGTAAGTATCAAGCACGCACAATGCAGCTCAAAACACTTTGCTCGGCCACACCCCCACGGGAGACAGCAATGACAAACCTTTAGCAATCAACTAAAGTTTAACTAAGCTATGCTACAATTAGGGTAGGTTAATTTCGTGCCAGCCACCGCGGCCATACGATTAACCCAAGCTAATAGAGACCGGTGTAAAGGGTGTTTAAGATCTAATCGAATAAAGCTAAACTCCATCTAAATTGTAAAACCTTAGCTGATGTAAAATAAACTACGAAAGTGGCCTTAAAATTTCTGAACACACAATAGCTAAGACTCAAACTGGGATTAGAGATCCCACTACGCTTAGCCCTAAACCTCAATAATTAAAATAACAAAACTACTCGCCAGAAGACTACAAGCAACAGCTTGAAACTCAAAGGACTTGGCAGTGCTTCACATTCCTCTAGAGGAGCCTGTTCCGTAATCGATAAACCCCAATCCACCTCACCATCTCTTGCTCAGCCTATATACTGCCATCTTCAGCAAACCCTGATAAGGCCACAAAGTTAGCATAACCGTCCCTGCAAAAACGTTAGGTCAAGGTGTAGCCTATGAGATGGTAAAAAACGGGCTACATTTTCTACTCCAGAAAACCCCACGATAACTCTTATGAAACCTAAGAGTCCAAGGAGGATTTAGCAGTCAATTAAGAACAGAGTGCTTAATTGAACCAGGCCATAAAGCACGCACACACCGCCCGTCACTCTAAGGACTAACTTAACTAAACACCCCAATATTTATATGGAGGAGATAAGTCGTAACACGGTAAGTGTACTGGAAGGTCCACTTGGATAAATCAAGGCATAGCTTAATATAAAACATCCGGCTTACACCCGGAAGATCTCAATACCATTTGATTGCCTTGAGCTAACACTAGCTCCAAATCCAATCAAAACTAATACCAAACTAATTTACACTAAACCATTTACTAATCCAAAAGTATAGGCGATAGAAATTCTATCCTGGCGCTATAGATACAGTACCTTAAGGGAAAGCGAAAAATATCAAACAAGCACAAAATAGCAAGAACTCACCCCTATACCTTCTGCATAATGAATTAACTAGAAACAATTTCGCAAAGAGAACTAAAGCTCAATTCCCCGAAACCAGACGAGCTACCCAAAAACAGCTGAAAGAGCGCACCCGTCTATGCAGCAAAATAGTGGGAAGATTTATGGGTAGAGGTGACAAGCCTACCGAGCCTGGTGATAGCTGGTTATCCAAGACAGAATCTTAGTTCAACCTTAAGTTTACCTACAGAACTACTCAATCCCCTGTAAACTTAATTGCTAGTCTAAAGAGGGACAGCTCTTCAGATATTAGGAAAAAACCTTGTATACAGAATAAAAAACCTAATCTCCATAGTTGGCCCAAAAGCAGCCATCGATTAAGAAAGCGTTCAAGCTCAACACCAACCATACAAAAAATTCCAAACACACCACTGAACTCCTTATATCACATTGGATTAATGTATCACTTCATACAAGCAATAATGGTCGTAACCTATCTGGCGGCACAGCCCCAGATAGCACACCCAACTAGCCACTCAAGGCGGGCAGTGACACCTGAGGAGATAGGGCCCCCAAACCGTCCCAGGCCACGGGCAGTGCAGCCCTGGATAGCGCACTTACTCTGACGCCTTTCTATGCTCTGGCCAGCTGCAGTGTCCGCGGCTGCCACCAACCGCAGCGATCAAAGCAAGCTGGCGAGGCGAGTCAGCGAGGACAGCCACAGCCCCACAGGCTCCAGCCTCCAGCCTGCGGCAGCTGGCACCTCCCACTCCAAACTGGGAATGGAGCAGCTACGAAGTTACGCCCACGTAACATGCTTTATATACCGAGATTATAAACTACATGTTCTGATTGGATGAGAGGAAAAAGCTAGGCCTACTCTGATTGGGCTTTATTTTCACATTGTGATTGGTTAGTCTAAGACTTGCTCTCATCCAATCAGAACATGAAAATAACGTCCAATCAGAGTAGGCACAGCAGTTTTCTCTCATCCAATCAGAACATGAAGTCCAGGAACCGGGCCTGCACAACCTCAGTATATAAGGCATACTAATGGGACTCATGCCATTGTGGGTTCTGCCGTGTTAGTCCGTGTGTTTCTTCCAGTCGCAGTTTAGAGAAGGCAGAAGCCAGGTCTGCCCCCACACTGAAAGCTGGAGCCTGTGGCGCCAGGGTTTTCCTCTGCTTGGTGTGTGGCGGCCATGGAGAGAGGCAGCTGGTGGTGAGAGCTGCTCCATGCTTGGCTACAGGAAGGGAAGGAGGAGGAGGCACCTACCACAGGCTGGAGGCTAGAGCCTGTGGGACTGGGGCTGGCCTCGCTGGCCTTTACCTCACTGGGTCGCCTCGCTGTGGTTGGTGGCAGCGATGGACACTGCAGCTGGCCAGAGCGTAGAAAGGCGATGGGGTAGGTGCGCTGTCCGGGGCTGCCCGCAGCGGGGAATGGTTGGGGTGTTATTCCAACGTCACTATTTTGGCGTGCTAGAGTGTTATTCCCGGCGTCACTAGTTTCAGGTGTGCTGTCAGGACTGCACTGCTCTCAGCAGCAGGGGGACGTAGTGGGGGTGTGGGTGGGGTGGCGGTGTGGGGGGCGGGTTGGAGTCACTATCTTGGCTGTATTGCTGGCAGCAGTAGGGCTGGTTGGGGGCTCTGTTGGGTGCTGCACAGCCCCCGACAGGGGCCAGGTTGGGGCCGCTATTGTGGTTACACTGCCAGCGGCTTGGGGGTGGAAGGACTGGTCGGGGTCCTGACTGCTCGGGCTTCATTGTCCACAGAGGAGTGGGGATGCCCTCCGGGGCTGCTCTGCCCATGGCGGGGGGCTTGTTGGGGGCACCATGTGGGGATGCAATGCCCGTGGCAGGGGGATAGGTTAGAGGCAGTATCTGGTGCTACACTGCTGGTGGTGGGGCAGGGGAGTGAGGGGTGCAGGTAGGTGCTTGGAGGGTGTGGTTTCAGGCGCTATCGGGGCCACACTGTCCATGATAGAGGGTAGGTTGGGTGTGCTATTGGGAGATACACTCCCCGCAGCAAGGGGCAGTTTGGGGGCGATACCTGGCCGGTGGCAGGCGGGGAGGTAGGGTGGGTTGTGGGCACCGTTCGGGGGCTGCTCTGTGGTCAGTGGGGGCGAGTTAGGGGCACTGTCAGCTGCTGCACTGTTTGTGGTGGGGGCCGGGTTTGTGCGCTATTGGGGATTATATTTCTGGCAGCGGCATACCGCTTTGGGGTGCTGACGGGGGCTACACTGCCCACGGCGGGATGCTGGTGGGGTGCGCTATCCAGGGCATCATTCCCTGTGGCTGCGGGATAGTTGGGAGGTGCTGTCTGCTATGTGGTGCTGCACTACCCCTCGTGGGGAGGGGGTTGCGGACCTTAAGGATCCGTGGCTGCACTATTCACGGCAGGGAGGAGGTTGCTGTGCTCTGCCTGGGGCGTCACTGCCTGCAGTGGGTTATGGGTCCTCTCAGTGGCTGCATAGCCCACGGCAGGGGGTAGGATGGGGAAATGTTCTGGTGCTGCGATGTCCCAGGTGGGGGCGGATTGGGGGCGCTATTGAGTTCTACACCGCAGCGGCGAGGAGCGGTGTTGGGGGCACTGTCCCGGGGTCAACAGCAGGCAGCGAGTTAGGGGCGCTATCAGGGGCTGTCCTGCCAGTGGCGGCAGAGGTTGCAGCAACAGCAGTGGTCTCCAAGGAAGGAGCTTTCCTTCTCTCCCTGGACTCCAGACTCTAGAGGGCGATCTCCTCTTGCTCCTGCTCCAGTGCAGCAAGCGCCCAGCGTTTCCGCAGGAATCCTGAGCAGGGCATAGGCCTCAACACCCGCTGTGGTTCCCGGGGCCACGACCTTTCTCTCTGTGTTGCGGAGACCACCTGGGACCCGTAGGCACGACAGACACGGAGTAGCGGACACCACGGGAGGACAGGGCTCTGTGGGTGGAGGCATCAGGATCGGGAACCGGCACTTGGGTGGGAGGGCTGCTGGGTGTGAGTTCCTGCTGGTTCTGCTCCCCAAGGAGCGCAGCCCTGGTGTGCCCAGCGGTTCTTGTGGATTGGAGCCAGGCAATGTGGTGTTACCCTTCTCCACTCCACGCCCCAGTTCCTGGTCCGCTTGGGCCAAAAGGAGAGGCTGGACTTCGGAGGGTGGATGTGAGTGCCTTCACTGAGAGACCAGCCCCTGCCACCCAGTGGCCAGGATGACAGGGTGAGGCTCTAACGCTATCACTTTGCGTGCTCCTCTAGGCTTTTTTGGCTTTGCCTGCCCAGCTGTTCCATGCCAGGAGGAGGAGGAGTTACATGCTGGCAACTTGCAGATGGCCTGGGGCTGCCGCTCGCCTCACTGCAGTTGGTGGCAGCTACGGAGACTGCAGCGGGCCAGAACGGTAAGAGGACGGCCAGCTGCGGCCATGGCAGGGGCAGGGCTGCCGCGTGGCCAGGTAGTAGGAGCTTTGCAGGGTGGGCCGGTGCTTTGAGGGCAACAGCAGCAGTGGTTGTACTGACATCCACACTAGTGGTGGCAGCAGGAACAAGTCCGGGAACCGGGAAGAGGGAGTAGGAGCGCTGCGGGGCCTGCCCGGCCAGGACTGGGCTGGGTAGGAAGCTTCGGGTGCTGTACCACAGTCTCGGTGGAAGTGGTGGAGGAACAGCCAGGGCAATGAGGAGTTCTACCCCTTCTCTTGCAGTCTCTGGAGGGCGACCTCCTCCTGCTGGCGCATGAACCAGGTGGGAGTGTCAGCATATTCTCTCTCTCTTCCAATGTAATATAGTCATGCACTACATAACAACATTTTGCCAGCCATGGCCTGCATGTATCAGGGTAGTCCTATAAAATTATAATGAAACTGAAATATTCTCATTGCCTAGTGACAACATAGCCATCTTAACCTTGTAATGCAAGGCAGTACTCACGTGTTTGTGGTGATGATGGCATAAACAAACCTACTGAGCTCTTTCTGTAAAAGTATAACACATACAGGCCAGGCGTGGTGACTCACACGTGTAATCCAAGCACTTTGGGAGGCCGAGGCGGGCAGATCACGAGGTCAGGAGATCGAGACCATCCTGGCTAACACAGTGAAAGTAAGCTATTCTGTTCCACTATCTCTCTGTCTGTTCTTATGCCACTACCATGGTTTTTTGGTTTTTATAGCTCTGTAGTAAATTTAAAGTCCAGTAATGTGATTCCTCCAGTTTTGTTGTTCTTGCTCAGGATAATTTAGGCTATTCTGGGTCTTTCGTGGTTCCATATAAATTTCAGCATTTTTTTTCTATTTCAGTAAAGAATGTTATTAGTATTTTGATAGTGATTGCATTTAATCTGTCGATTGCTTTAGGCAGTGGGTTTTAACAATATTGATTTTTCTGATTTATGAACACGGAATATCTTTCTATTTTTGTGTCTTCAATTTTTTTCATCAGTGGTTTATAGTTTTCATCGTAGAAATCTTTCACTTCTTTAGTTAAGTTAATTTTGAGGTACGTTATTTGTGGCCCTTGGAAATGGGATTTTTTTTTATTTCTTTTTCAGATTGTTTGCTGTTGGCATATAGAAATGCTACCGATTTTCGTATGTTGATTTTGCATCCTGCAGCTTTACTGAATTTGTTGATCAGTTCTGATAGTTTTCTAGCAGAGTCTAGTTTTTTTCCTAATATAAAATCATGTTATCAGCAAACAAGGGTACCTTGACTTCTTCCTTTCCAACTTGGATGCCCTTTATTTGTTTCTCTTGTCTGAGTGCTCTAGCTAGGACTTCCAGTACCATGTTGAATAACAGTAGTGAAAGGTAGGTATCCTTGTCATGTTCCAGATCTTTGAGGAAAGGGTTTCAGTTTTTCCCCATTCAATATGATACCAGTTGTGGATTTGTTGTATATGGCAGTTATTGGGTTGAGGTATGCTTCTTTTATATCCCGTTTTTGAGGGTTTTTAATCATGCAGGGATGTTGAGCTTTATCAAATGTTTTTTCAGCATCAATTTAAATCATCATTTGGTTTTTGTCCTTCATTCTGTTGATATGATGTGTCACAGTGATTGATTTGTATATATTGAGCCATCCTTGCATCCCTGGGGTAAATCCAGTCATTATTTTATGTCATTGGTTTTTTCGTGTTTCATCACTAGTATAAACTCAGGTTTTGAGGGTAGATATATTTTTCATTTTTTTAAGTTAGTTTGTTCATTTGTTTGTTTGAGACAGAGTCTCACTCTGTCGACCAGGCTAGAGTGCAGTGGTGCAATCTCAGCTCACTGCAACCTCCGCCTCCTGGGCTCATGCCATTCTCCTGCCTCAGCCTCCCAAGTAGCTGGAACTATAGGTGCCTGCCACCATGCCCAGCTAATTTTATATATATATATATTTATTATATATAATATATATATTATATATATTTATTATATATAATATATATATTATATAATATATATTATATATATATTTATTATATAATATATTATATATATATTTATTATATAATATATTATATATATATTTATTATATAAATTATATATATATATTTATTATATATAATATATATATGATATATATATTATATATATATTTATTATATATCATATATATAATATATATTTATGATATATCATATATATAATATATATATATTTATGATATATCATATATAATATATATATATTTATGATATATCATATATAATATATATATTTATGATATATATGATATATCATATATATATTATATATATATTTATGATATATATATATTATATATATGATATATA